AACTTGTTAATGTGCTCTTACATCACTGAACACAGAAGGCTAGCATACAAGATATATTTTTTCTCATACTCACACATATGAAAGACATATACAGTCTAAAAAATAATTTTACAAGAACTGACAAAACTTTCTCTTAGAATCAACACAGGAAACTCTATAGACAGATTAGTTCCGAGTATCTGAGATATAAACCCAGAGTGATTTCAGCTCCTTTTCAGAAGGAAAGGAAGAAACATTGGAACCAGATGAAATGTAATACCGTATTATCAGCAGTGAAAAGCAGAAGGAAAAATGCACAATTTATAAAAATGTGCAAATAGAAACGGCATTTTTTTACTTGTCAATAACTGATGCAGACTGCCATTTTCTTTCTATTGCTGTTTTAGTTGGCATTCACATCTAACTTGTTTAAAAATGTACATCAGAATTAAATTTACTCAACATTTCATTAAAAAAAAGCTTTTCTTCAGCACAAAGTAATTTCTGTAATTCTGTAATCTCTTGTTTTTAATCAAAATTCTAGACATTCTACCTGAATAGCAGGCTTCTCTAGGAAGCACTGGCATAGCTGTTGAGAATCATCCAAATCCACTGTATAACATTCTGATGCTTTCACCAAACAAACTGCTTACCAATTGAAAAGCAAAGCTAATAAAACTAACTGAATGTTAGCATGAGAAGCTTGAGTATACATCCTGCTAGCTATTTTTATTTCAAATTTTAAAGAAACTAGAACCTCAAGACAGAAGTATTGTAAATCACTTGTTTCTACTGGACCATCACACCTTAGTTCATAATTAAAAGCTGAAGCTGCCAATATACCTGTGGGCACTGCAGCCCTGCTTTCCAGCAAAAGCCCCAGCAAGATGACAGCTCCTGAACTGAACCCATTCAAAAGCTGTGCCACTCATGCTATAATACCTGAACATTATAAGCTTATACACAAATATTTAGCCTGCCTGTGACAGCTTTTCACCCTGGGTATAACAAACTCCCTGCTACACAGCACTAAGGACCCAGTCACACACTGCTGCCTTACAAAGTAGTTTCACTGGAAAGTCAAGATGAAAAAGTGACCAGTAAGTCATTTACCTGGCAATTTTTAGGAGGAGGTTTTACGGCATTCAAATGGAAAGAAATTATGAAAATAAAAAGTAGAAAGAGAAGGGAATCTGTCACTAAAACTGTTCTTCAAGTGAAAAGTGAAATGCATTAAATATGGAAATTTAGATTTATAAAAATATAAACGTTACAAAGGCATAGCTATAGATTGGGTTTATATGACACTATACAGCTCAACTTGTTAAGTACCTGAAGCCATAGTCATCTCCTTGGTGAAACTGTAAATACTTATAGACTGGTAAGTTACTTCACTGATTATATTAGGTAATTGTACCAAAAACATTGACTGGTATGAGTGAATTATGAATGAAACTGAACGTCTTTGTGAGTACCAAAAGAATCAAGTGGAACAACACATTAAAAAGGATGGCTTCTCTCAAGACACTGTCCCTAGAGCACCATTTCCTAGCAATGAAATTCAGGAGTGTGCTGCTTATATCAAGACCGAAAAGCCTGCACTCTGATAAATCACACCACAGCACAAATAACTCATCAGCAGCAGATCTGGCATCCTAACATTAGAAGATGCTGAAAAGGTTGCAGCATATCACATGCACGACTCCCTGTCCTCTAACCCCAATAAGAGAAAAATTATGGATACACGTTTAGAAAAAGTTTAAGTGTGGAAAAACAGATGTGATTCAACAACATAGGCAAGATCTATATTAGATAAAATCAATAGGTCTTCGAGGAAAATAAAAGCTCCATAACAATTGTTGACCCCTAGGCCAAAAACTAGCTCATTGTTATCATTTAGGAACCCTAGATGACTGGATAGCCACTGTCTTGTTCTCTGAGTCCAGACAACTCAGACACATCTTGGTATCTGTCAGTAAGAGTGAATTAAGTTTTAAGATAATGAGAGTGTGCAGGTAAAAATCAGTTTACTTTATGATTTTGTAAACAAATATCACTTTCCCCTTCCTAGGATCTTACACCAAACTTTATTACTCTAATTCCCCTACATTAGCAGCTGAGATACAAACTTTCTATTTGTGAATTAAAATTCATATTATGTAAGGTTCTGGTGGACAACATAACATTTGGATTCTGAAGTAAAGTAGTATGGTGTAAGATTTTGCATGTGCTAAGGAGTTACTTCAAACAAATCTTAGATATCAATGTGAAAAAGTCTTGTCTGCAAGGGAAGGAGACTGAAAAAAAAACAAACTGCTGTATTTCTTACACAGTCTATTTATGTACGTGACAGATTAATTCTACCTATTTCACACTCTTCATGACTTAGTTGGAATACCGTACAGATTATCAGAAAACCTGAATAAAACTGATCCAAGTCTGAAGAGAAGAAAAATGTTAAAAGGAAAAGAAATAATAGTACAAGAAAGCCCAGAAAGGTCAGAAACAAGAGTTACATGTATTTAGGTCAACAGGGTTCTGAAATAATTTTAAGAAACTATAGAAAGTAATTTGCACAAGATAAAGTTGTATCAAACTAAAGGTCACAGAGAAAATACAAAAAGGGCTACTCTTCCAGGAGCTGAAATAAAATTTATGCTTTCCATTGTCTCTGTCTTTCCAGTACTACGGTATATAACAAGCCAAACACAATGCTCTTTGAAATTATCTTCTGAGGAAGATCTAAAAATTTTCCTTGCCCATAATAACAACGTGAGAAGGTCAGTAACCATATTATTATTAACCATAAACTGAAATTCTATGCATGAAGGCATCACTCTTACTTAACCAACTTCTGTAATGCAGGATATGATTTCTGAAAGGGAATAAGAAGGAAGAAATTTCCATTTAAGTCTCAGATGTTCCAGCTTGTAAGTCCAGTGCTTCATTCCCAATGCATTTTTATTGCAAGTCACATTCTTAAATTTTTACAAATGGATTTGCTGAAGAGTGAACTATCAGGACTACATAAACAGTTTCTCATTGTTCTATCCAGAAAAGGCAGAATTACGGATTCTTGCTCTCTTGTCCCCACAAAACTTTTCAGGAGAGTTTTATAAATGAAATCTTAGGAACACTACCAGAAGCTCTGTCTCAGCATTAGGACCCCGATTTGCCTGGGGTAAAAAGAAGTAAAAAGTTAATTCCAGGAAACGTATGTGACAAGGAAACAGTACGAACAAAAACAAACAAACCAAAAAACCTGTGTTCTATTAATGTGTTTAAATTCTTGATCTGTAATCATAAACTCTACTCTCAAATTCAAAATTCAATTTAAAAACATGTTAGAGCTTCATCAAACTTCAGCAAGGTTTAATCTTTCACTGCATGTTTATTCTCACATATTTGGGTTTCTTCCCTCTCCACAGTTGTTAATTTTGAGCATTGTTACCGAAACTGAGACAAAGACCCTGCAGAATCCTAGTGATATGCCACATTAAACTAGCACTGATGACAGCTGTAGAAGCATTTGGTTTGGAGCAAAAAAAAAAAAACCACCAATAGACAAAATTATTTTAGTAAAAGCAAGTAAAGTTGTCTTTTGTGCAAATTATACATGACTATTTGTATTCACTCACTTGTTTTTCTGGATGCATCGATAAGCCTAGATGACTCAGGAATTTATTTCAGAAATCTATATATTCATTTCAAAAAGTGCTGCTAATGCACTTAATGCACACTGCACTCTGCGGAGAATTTTGGTCCTAACACTCAAATTAGACAAATCTAAACACAGTCACTGCAATAATAGCTGTATTCATTTCCCTCATAAGCCAGATTCAAAGTCACAAGCAAATTCTCAGTTTGCAAGCTAAAACATGTTACACGGGTTATTTACAGCCAACCACTGAAGTCACCAAAACCTGTCAATGATGTCAAACAAGACAAAAATAGACCATCTTCCTTGTTTTTCCTAAATAAACTTATATTCATAAAAGATGAAAGAACAGAAGAGGAAAAAAAACTCTCTTCATCACACCCACTACAAAAGCACTAAACTACTCAGCCTTTCTTAGAAAAAAAAATGCTTCAAGGAAAGAAATCAGGATCGTGTCCATGTCTTCATGTTTTCCTTCTCTGCCTAGATTGTCAGCAATATAAACTGTTGTGGGTTTTTTTGTTTTTTGTTTTTAAATTTTCATACCAAAACTGGCAGGTTTTAATCTCTGCTCTCTTGTGTCAGCAACAGGGCCTGAGGGAACAGCATGGAGATGCATCAGAGGACGGTCAGATTGAGGGTTAAGAAAAGGTTCTTCACCAGAGGGTGGTGGGGCCCTGTGACAGCTCACCAAGGCAGAGGGCATGGCCCCAGTTTGCCAAGAGGTCAAGGAGTGTTTGGAAAATTCTCTCAGACATTGGGTGCTCTTGTGTGGAGGCAGAGCTTGGACTCAATGATCCTTGTGGGTCCCTTCTAACTCAAGATATTCTATGTTGATATGTCATTTCACATGCCACTGAGAAGAATTATTTTTAAAAATTTCAGTCCCTAATATCAAGTGAAAATCTTCATATTCATCCAAGTGAAAGACTTCAAATTTAACCACCACAAATATGATACTGCCTCAGTCACCTTTAAAGAGTACCTAATGCTAATCCTACAAGTGGTAATCCACTAAACAGATGACTTGCAGATGAAAAACAGGAACAAAATCAAAATGAAGGAAGCTGCTTTTCTCATTCTGTTTAAATGAAGATATTATCAAGTAATGGAACTAAAATATATGCATTGGATTTCTTAGAAAGTTGCTTTCAGAACATACCATATAAAATCAAGTTACATGAATTCAGAGAGAATGATTGGTAAAAATTGGTTTCAGAAAATCGCAATTCCTATTAATTCATCTAGATTTCATGTTTTCAAGCTGTGCTACTCATGCCCTACAGAATAAATTTTCTAATCTCCAAGTCAGCAACAAAGAAATAGAGCTTTAATTATGAATGAATAAAATAAGAATACTTACGCTGACCCCACCGGCCTGTTCTTGGGTTCAAATAATTTGGATAAAGTCCATTAGGACGATCCATTTTTTGGAGTAACTTCCGAATGTGCATGACCTAAATTAAACGAAGAATCAGGATCACCACTAACAACTTCAATCTGCTCTGCATACTGTTAAATCTAATATTTTTCTTTTCAGACATACATTTTCTTAATTTGATCTGAGAAACTTTCTTGGAAGCTTCCTCTTTTTTTTTTTTTGTGCTTTTGAACTGTTGACACACAAACATCTTTTAAAGTTATGATTTTTAAGTGCTTGTTGAAAGAAATGAAAAACTTTTGCTGTAAAATTTGTATTTCAAGAAGTTAATCTGCTTGGTAAGAAAGAATTTACTTGTTACTTAAAATGCAATTAGATTACAGTACATTACAAAATGTTGTACAAAAGGCAATTTCCTTTAATGCAATTTATGATGAAACAGCATAAAAGTCACTTGTATGACTGAAAAAACTAAATTTGAGACCCACCTTGTTGTAATATACCGGGTCTCCTGTTAAATAGCTTAGGTGGACAAATTCCATATGTAGAGTACCAAACTCAGCAAGGATGCTGCTGCCTGCAGAAGCCCAGCCCCAGTTCCGACCCACACCGCTGAGTTTCAAGAAATATGTATGAAAATCAGAAAAAAGAACAAAAAAAAAATCAGAATTACCACACCCAATGCTAGTAACAAGCAAATTAAAAAGTAACAGCAAAATAATAATCTGTGCTTAAGATTACAAAAGTTGTGGCATGACTGAGTCGTTAGTTAGTTGGTGGGATCTTCTTGGAAAAAAAAATATAGTAAGTTCATCAACGAAAAGACCTGTGATTGTAATTCTGTGCATCAACACATTGATTCAATGCCTTAATAACAAGTCCAATCTCAATTGTCATTTATTCATTCCATATTCCTAAGAACAAGAATCAAAAGCAAATATCAGATGAGTATACTACCAAATGTGGCAGAATTTGCTTCCTTGTTCTGTCAAACATCTGCTTATCCTTACTTGTGTGGGATACGCTTAATGTCAGTATTTGATGGTTCAGTAAGATGGGAGTGGGACTTATCTGTGTCTACATAGGAAAACTGTATGTCTACAGCAAGCAGAATATTGTGAGTTCCTCAGACTGGCACAAGGAATCAACAGACTGCATCATACCATAAATCTTTTGCACACAAAGACATCTCGGTAAGTCATAACTCCTAAATTACCTCTGGTTTAATTTGATTCATGAGTTTTCACCACCTTCCAGGATTGAGTCCTTTAACTTACGAAGTTAACCATATTTTCCTGGAGATTATTGGTGCTTTCTCTCAAATAAGATATCAGATATCAGTAAAACTACAATCAGATAGCAATGTCTTTATATTCTTTTTATTATAAATTAGAAAGAATAAAAATGTAAACAAAAAATATCAGTAATGGAGCAGAAATTACAGTTTTCACCTGAGACAGAATACTTTTAAAAATGCAGTAACTACTGCTGAAAGATTACAGAAACAAAATTATAGCCTGCAGTTTTTCTTTGGTTCATCTCTCACAAAGAAATAAATTGAACATTAAAAATACAAAAACTAATAAAATACAAGTTGCTCATTTTTCAAATCCTTCTATCAGGTCCTTTCTTATATTGCATGTCAGCCTCATGATAAGTGTTCACATATACATACACCACTGTCACTGCCTCATTGCATGCCAGCTACTGTATTTTCTGTTGTGATGCCAGCAGGCTCTGTACATTACCAGGAGGCGGATACAGCACAAGCGTTAATTAATAAGAAAGTTCTCATGTCCCAGTAATAAAATTATAAAAAATGCCTTGTGTCAAAAAGTGCTTTCAAAATTTGAGGAAAAACTCAGCACTGAACAAGCAATCCAAGATAAATTAGTAATTTTGTTCCACGAGGCAATCTAAGTATACACTGAACAGCCACCTAAATGAGCCTATCCATCTCCTCTGACCATAGTGGATTATACAGCTGAACTGCAAAATAAATTAATACTTCCTCAAACATTCTGAGATTTCTGACAGTAACACACAGCTCACAAAGCACATAAAAACCAGTAAATTCAACTGTGGCCTGCAAACATTTTTGTTTGTAAATTCAATTGTGGCCTGCAAACATTTTTGTTTTTCATAGGAACATGGTTTATAATGACTAAAGAACTAGTGTTTAATCTCTAGGACAACATATGCCATAATATGGTGTAACAGCATGCTGAATTCTTATTTAGAATTAGGAAAAATATTAATGGTCACAATTTATTGCAGTTTAATGAAGTAGGATGGTCTGAAATCTATTAAAGTTATCTTTAAGTGCCAGGAATAACAACTTGTCACCATCTTCTACAATTGTACTACTTAGAATTACTAATAGCATATGTCATTTTTTCAAGCTAGGGAAGGTTGAGAAAAACACTTCCCCACAAAAGAAAACTCATTACCTTTTCAGATTTACCATTGCCCATGGTATACCCGTAGGTGTGTTGAAGGCTGGAAGAAGTTTTCCTGCCAGCTGCACTGCTTTGATCTTGAAAACCTAAGATAGTAGGATCAATTGCAGACAGTTACAAATTCTGATTTATCTCCAAGAACTATAAAGACGGAAATTTCCTTGTCCCACCCACTTCCTTATATAAGAAAATCATTACAATGAAAAAAAAATTGAACTTCTCATTTATTTTCACTTGTTCATTTCATGAACACCACTAAAATTTGAACATGAAAAGAAAACTTGTCATTTTAATGTCTCTGCTTTCATGCTCACCAGCAACACTGCTTACATTCCTATGAAAGAGGGGTATCAATCCTCCCCCCAACTCTTTCCACCAATATTATTTCAAGTGCTATCTAAAGTAATCTTTAAAATACTTTCACCTTAGCAGTGAAAAGCGAAGGAGAATTCTCCCACATAACACACAAGTGATTTTAATTTACAAACTTACAATCCTTTTAATGATATGCTTAATACAGACAGAACTGCTAACTTTTTATGTGCACTGTCAAAGCAAAATGACACATAGACAGTTTTCCAAAACTCTTCTTTCGTTGATAATACATTACAAAAATTTAAAAAGGCTTAATTTCCTCTCAAGTCTGACTACAAGTGCAATTTACTGACTGGACAAAATGACTTTTAATTTCCAGTGTTGTTACTCATGTCTGTATCAGAGCATAAACCTTTAATACCTTTATTTGGAATCTAATATTTATGAACTAAATGAGTAGATGGGAAAAAAATCCTTCTAAGCTTGTAGGAAGAAATCTTTTCCAAGAAGGCATATTTGGCAGATGCCAATGACATAAAATTGTTTTTGCCAGCTACTTGCTAACATACATTTCAATTAAGTCAATGTGAATATTTCTCTGGAAGTATCTTTTTTATTGGGAGACAACATTATTTATCAGTTACAAGTGCTGCACAAACATTTAACAAAAGGAGCTACTGTTGCCCTAAGTAACGTAAGCATCATGAACATACAAAAAAAAAACCCACTACTATTAACTACCAGATCAATATTCTATAATCAAGAGAAATAAAAGCTTTGAGTAAATCTAAAAGACAGCTCTGTTGAACTGATAAAAAATATTTTCCCTTTTGTGAAGTGTAGAGGAAGAAAAGAAAAAATGTATACTGGCAGATCTGAAAAGTAAGCAATCAAGACCATTCTCATTTTTCATATGAAGGTAAGAAAAGATCAATATCTTAATATTTTTGAAGATGACTAGTAAGGCATGCAATAAACAAAAAAGAATATTAACAGTGACATCTAACTGTATTTGATGCAGTGGACTATGGAGAGATGGAAGTGGATCTGAAAGTAATGAGCCAGGAAAAGACTTCTACACAGATAGTCTACATGAGTTTTAAGATGAGGTATGTCTAAACTGAAAAAGAGGATATTGGAATCATCAGAATGGAATCTGATGGAAACGTGAAGCAGCAGAAGCAATGTGGCTTGAATGCTTTTCAGCAACAACATTGGCAAGAGACAGTCTTTGAGAAAACGTGCAGAAACTTAACAGTAAAATTCATAAAATGCTCTAACTTTGAATAAAGGACCAAGTTAAAATAGGAAGGCATACTATAAATAAGAGGGACTGCATATGCAGAGTCTTCGGCAATTGGGAAAAGAGAAGCCCTAAACAGAAATAAAAGATACGTCTCAGCCCAAATACATACACATTTCCTGCTTTGAATCTATAAATGCATGTCAAAAATGCAGGCAGAAATTTTAGATTTTTAGATACTGGATGGGTCAAGACCAGACAGAGCCACTACAATCACCTGAAGTGAGTTAACCTCTCTAATGCAGGGTCACTTCAATGCTTACTCCGTAACAGAATTACAAATTCCTCTTAAACATTACAAAGTTCAGAAAGACATTTCTGGCATGGATTTCTTTACCTTCCATTTTTGGATCCTGCACCCTTTGGAAACTACACGTACGATCATGTGTTTCTATTACCCTTATTAATAAAGGATATTGAAACATTATGGCAAGAATGTTCAGTTGGAGAACACTCCTAGAAACATCCCCACTAAAATGATTTCTCTATTTATGTAATATTATCCAGCTGTTGCTCAATTTGAAACATGCTACAACAATTTAAGGAAAAAAATACAGTTTTGGAAGCAGTTTTTTAGAAATTGTATATAAAGCACAGGCTGAGATGAGCTATCTGTTCATGAATATAAACAACGGCAGGGAAGGAAATACTGTGCCAGCCATTTCAGCATGTGAGAAATTCAAAAGCCAGTGAGTCAGTGGAAAGTTGTGACTGTTCACTCAGACAATGGCATTGATAGTACCTGCTGAAAAGTTGCTGTGATTAGAGACACCTTCCTGTTACCTTTGTTGAGCTGAGAATTCTACATACTACTGATTTAGCATCAACGAGTAAAATTGTACCTTTGTTTACCTTTTTCATTAAAGTAAACACTTGAATTAACCGCAGACAGGCCATTACTTTATATTAGGGTACCTTCTTGCTAACTGCTATGTCAGAGTACTATGAATATTTCAATACTACTTCTGGATAACAAAGCTCTGCTGAGCTAATTAAAATAGCTTCTATTACTAAGTTTTAGACACACGAGCAGGAGTAAATGCACTAGGCTCTAACTTCTAAATAACTTAATGACAGCAGACAGCATGATTACTTATCATACAACAAATATGAGTAATTTATTTTTTCAAAATGAGTTGGACCAACAGATTCCATTCCAGCCTTGGCAGTTCTCAATTGTCAAACACTACATTTCAAGAACAACACAAACAAGAACAGAGAAGAAAACAAAATGAACAGATGCCTTGAAAACATAAAATGGTAAAAGAATTGTGGTTACTTAGAAAAGACAAGACACAAGATAGCAACTTTTCAGTACATACAAGGCCAGTACATGGAAAAATGAAGTAACTGTGTTTTCTGCAGATGTGAAGAATAAAAAAAAGCATGAAGTCAGGTGACAACACAGATCCATCAAAATACTGAATGCAGTTAATAAAGGGAGTATCCAACAGCAAGACTATATTCAAATCCTCAAGAATAATGCTTGGCCCAATTTAAAATCTTGACCTAATCTAGAACAGTTATTTTTCTACCTTTAGAGTTCAGCTTGAATACTGAACTCTTTGTAGTCTTTTTGTACCTAACCACCTATTTAAAATTCAACTTGCCTGTTAGGCAACTTTCTGCATGAGTAGCAATAGAGGCCAGTGGAGCAATTTAATGCTGAAAATCAAGATGAGCTGTGTTGCTGCAAAAAGAAAGGTAACTCCTTTAATAAGTCTTTGTTTCATTGCCTGTTTACATACATGCCATGCCACCTAGGAAGAAAATGCGCATATGCCAGGAGAGCAGCTTTAAATTGCAAAGACATACAACATCCCCATGTTTAAGACAGAGAACATCCAAATTTTAAAATATTCCTAGGGAGTTCCCTGCTGCAAGTAGTGGTATCCTGCTAACCAGGAATGAAGAAATATGTTCCTTTTTAACATATTTGCTTCTTGTCAATACCACAGATAAAGTGAGAAAGGCCTCTCATAACAAGAGGGAGGTGCAATAAGATTCAGGTAATATTTGAGGTATCATAGCATGAAATAGAAGTGGGAAAGCACTTTAGCTATATTTTATATGAGTAATCACTGGTGAAGTCTGTAACACCTAGAATTTGGCCTGGATAAAATAAATCTGCATTTACATGAAATTGAGCAAGGCATTTAAAAACTACAATATGTACAGTGGTGAGAAGATGCAGAATTACGTAAGTATGAGTAGAGTGATTCACAGCACATGTTCAACAAAGGACTATTTGCAGATATTGTTAAAACTTGACTCTAGGGGCCTTTCACTGTCTCTTGTGAGTTATAATGATTACTAAGCACTTGACAAAGAAGACTTAGCATTTCTAAAACACAAAGTTTTTAGACAAGAGAAGACTTGTCCTACAAGGCGATGCTCTGCAAATTTATATTACCTGCTTTGTAACAGAAAAAAATTAACATGGAAATGAAAAACTCAAACCCATCTCAGAAGTCTAAGAGTGAAAAATACAGGAATCAACTTGAAACTAGACTATGACGTAAATTGGCTCTGTCTTCTCTGTATGCTTCCTTCATATCTATATACAGGTATTTATATTATATAATGAGATTCCCCAGAGCACTTCTCCTGGTTAAACAGTTTCAACACTCTTAGCATTTCCTCATGCAAGAGATCCTTAAACATCTTCACAGTCCTTTGTTAGATTATCTCCAGTATGCCAATATCTCTCCTATACTGGGGAGCCCAGAACTAGTCCCAGCACCCCAGGAGTGGTCTTACCACTGCTGAGCAGAGGGGAAGAATCACCTCCCTCAATTATGCAGCTGTTGAACTGTTCAAGGTTCCAGCCAGCCCATTTCTCCAGCCTGTCCAGGTTCCTCTGGATAGCAGCATGACCCTCTGATGAATCAGCCATGCCTCCCGGTTTTGTACTATCTGCAAACGTGTTGAGGGTACACTCAGCAGATCCAAATCATTAATGAAGATGCTGAATGGAACTGAATCCAGTACTGACCCTTGGGTATACCAATAATAGCTACTGGCCTCCAACTAGACTTTGTGCCACTGGATACCACCGTCTGGACACATTCCTTGAGCTGGTTTTCAATCCACATCACTATCTGCTCATCTAGACCATATCTTAGCAGCTTCTCTGTGAGTATCTTATTGAATTCCACAATGAAAGTCTTCCTGAAGTCAAGTCAGACAATATCCAGCCCTCTCCCCTCATCTATCAAGCCAGTCATTCAATTGTAGAAGTTCATCATGCTGTTTGAGCATCTCTTACTCTTTGCAAGTCCATGCTGGCTACTCCCAGTTACCTGTTTGTCCTTGAAAACAGGTTCCAGAATTAGCTGTTCCATTGCCTTTCCAGGGATCAAAATGAAGCTAATCTATTTTGTAGGTCTCCTTTCCCTTTCTGAAAAAAGTAGTTCCCTAAGAGTGATGATATTCATCTTGCTTAACACCTTTAGTGCCCAATGATAC